TTCATCCCTTGATTCGGTGAAATAAAAACCATTTACCCACCAAAGATGGTTTGGGTCGTTTTTTGAGGCAGCGTGGGCGTGCCCGTTGTTTATTGAACCCACAAACTCCGCCTCGAATCCGGGTGCTAGGAACTTTGCGGTGGTATAACTCGATACGCCTACATAGAAAGTTAATGAAATTTGGCTTGTACATGCATTATGTACCTGTCCAGTTGGTGAAATAAAGATATTGAAGCCACCAATGCTAGTTTAGAAGTTGTTGTGTGCGCATGCAGTCAGCCTACCCCATCCCGATTCCCCCATATGTTTAATATGTTTACGGTAATATATCTCGAAACACCAACATAGGAGCCTTCTGAAATTTTGGATTCCAGCAGTTCATTCATCTCTTGATTCCGTAAAACAAAAAACATTTTCCCACCAAAGCTGGTTGGGGTACTTTTTGATGCAAAATGGACGTACCCCTTTTTTGCATGCTCAGTTAGCCTATTGTGCGATATTTTAGTATGTTTACGGTAATAGTACATTTAGGGGTGTGGGGGGGGGGGGGATCGGGGGATCTATTACATAATACTTTGCATTAATATGTTTTAAAATTTTATTTTCTAATATAAAGGTAACAATTATTTTCGTGATAATTATATCTAGGTTTTTCTTGGCGCTAGGAATACGTGGGCTTACTTGATCTCGAATGAGGGTGCTGGAATACGGTGAAAGAATATGTCTGCTAATTTGATCTTGAATCCGTGTGCTGGAATACGGTGAGAATATGTCTGCTAACTTGATCTCGAATCATGGTGCTGGAATACGGTTAGAGAATATATGTCTGCCAACTTGATCTCGAATCGGCGTGCTGGAGTACGCTAAGAATTATTTCTGCTAACTAGATCTCGAATCCGGGTGCTGGAATACGGGTGAGAGATTCCGCTCGGTCATTTTTACAGCTAATAAATCTCCACAACTCTCCCTCTTGCATAATTTATGGCATTGTTTTTCATATAAATAGTAACTGGTGAGCGAAGATCACAACATTGTTTGGAGTAAGGCACAAATGAATAAATATTTAACCCAATTCACTCGCTTGCTTTCATTTTCAACATTATCAGGCTAACAAAATTGCGTGATATTCACACATGTCACCGGAAGTCCAATTTCTCGTGAAATCTCGCAATTTTGCGGGATTTACTTATCGGCCCTATCCGACTGCTATGATAACACGTCATTACGTCGTCACAGAGTAAAAATACATAGAGTGGCGACTCGCATTACCGCTCATAGAAACACAGCGACGCGCAATGCATCTTGTGAATTGTCTGTAATAAACACACACTGACAGTTCGCTCAACGACGTTACGATATCTATATCGATGAACTAAATCTCTTTAATTTCGTAGTTTTATAGTATTTTCGGTAACAAAACTACTGAGAATTATCACATACAATCATAATATGTTAGTTGTGTGTGTGTTTCGGGAATTTATAAAACATGATTCATATTTCTAAAACATGCATAAAGCGTGGTACGGCCCGGAATTAATGAAGTGAGACTGAGACGAGAGACGGCATTTGTGACGGTTTACGAATTGGTTTATTCAAGGCCGTAAATTATTGTCGATTTTTACGAGGCTTTATTAAATTTGAAACTATTCCACCAAATACCTGTTGTTTCCATTCCTAGATTTGAAATGTAGGTCGGGTGTTCGATCCCTGCATTGGCCGAGAAAGTTCATCCAGATTTTCCGGCGTGGTTCTCCCTTGTCAGTGATGCAGGACGGAAGGGCTGACAAGGAAAGCTGTCTAGTCGTTCGGATGGGACGAAAAACCGAGGCCCCGTGTACACATTGGTGTGCACGTAAAAGATCCCTTGGCAGTTGGAATTCGATATAAGAGTAGGCCGTAGTGCCGCTGTCCGGGCAAAATTTCCCTCATAGCACACACTGTATGGCGTATGCCCGTCTTCATTAGCCCAGGTTAGGAGCAGAACAGTAGGACGTTAAACCCCATTTCATTTCATTTCATCCTGGAAACATGTGTGAAGTGAAACGTAACTGTGTTCCATAAAATTGTGTCTAGTTAGCCTGTCAGTGTCAGTAATATTTTGTTAATTTTTTTCTGCCACTTATCAGAGTGAATCGCATGTAGGTACCCAAAAACATTATCGCCTAAACCAAATATTTATCGCCCGCTCAGCCAACAACGTAACCATAATGCTTTGCACGCGGTGTCTTGGTAGACAGCATGGCCACATGGTGTTTGTTTATATTTTTTAGGGGTTTTAAAAATGGGTTAGGGTTAGGGTTAGGGGTTAGGGTTGCGCCCCCCCCCCCAACATGTATTTCACGGCTACGCCTCTGACTGTGTGCTTCTCGTATATATGTTATGTTAATAAAGTAAGCTTTCATTAAAATATAAAATAGTAATTTAAGAATATTAAAATTGAATTTCAAATAGGCATATAATGTTTTCCAATAAACAGATTTGAGCCGTTGGTTGTTTTCCAAGATAAAATACCTTTGGATCCAACGTTGACTCGCCGTGTGCTTTTATGATTTTTGTTCTATTAATTAATGTAGGGCGTAGGCTTTCATTTTTAAAAAGTAAAATAATTAAAGATATTGAAATTCTATTTTAAATAGGCCTATAACATTTTTTAATAAACATTTTTTGAGTTGATTGGTTTCTCTTTTTACAAACAAGTATAAACCCCAAACAACTTGAGAATGAATATTTTGCATATTGCTCTGGGTGTCATGTATTGTTTTGACGGCCTTTATAGGCCACCTAATACTATGAAATTGTCAATTTTACACTACTGCACAAGAATATATTAAATTATTATAAATATGAAGTTTGCTCTAAATATCTATCTCATTAGGTCTGATCTGTGTTCAGAGTTACTTTTATTTTTGCGATTTTTTTGTCAACTGATTATTTTGAAAAAGAAAATTTAATTTATGCTGTGTACTATTATGGAATTATCTGCCATACAAACTGAAGTTAACCATACAGCATACTATTACTAGATAATCACCGAGTAAATTAAAATTATTTTGAATTACTGAATGGTTTAAAATTAGTGATAGTGCTTCAGTAAATACATGTATTTTATTGGTCGGATTAAGGCCTACCAGTAAAAAGGGGAAATGTGATTTTTAATAGCATAACAGTATTAGGCTTACTGTTTTATTAAAAGCTTATTGCAACTGAAAATTGAGCAAAATAATATTTTTAAAAAAATTGGAAAGGTATATTTCAGATACCATAAACTTAACACTTTGTTTACCACAAGTAATTGTAGGCCTACATAGATAGAACAACATTTTTCGATAAACAATCATAGAAAAAATTAAGCTTGTCCATTATCCTTTTGCCAGAATACAACAGATTCTTCAGAAAATATAGTAAGTTCCCTCGCACATGATTCTTTTTCAATTGCTTTTAATGATAACATATGAATCTAAATTTATTTTATTCGGTAGACTGAAGGCCTATTATTGTGTTTGTAGATTTTATTTGTTTTTACAAAAACTATAGAATGTAAAAAGAACATGTGCAACTACAGACAGTAAAGCTTACTATTTAAAATTTAATCCTTTAAAAATCACATCTACATGTAATTCTAAAATTACGAAAATACTAGATAGCATGCGATAAAGAATGCAAGGAATAATTTGGTTTACATCGAAGCGCAACTACTACTAAAAAAAACAGGGCCTACAATTTAAATTACCGGCCATTAATACGTTTATTAGACCTATGACATGTCATGGAGTCTGGTGGCGCGGTTTCGATTCCCCGCTTGTACGAGACAAGGAGTAGGGTCGCCTGTCCAACCTCTTGGGTTTTCTCCGAGCCCCCCAGTTTGCTCTCATCAATCAAGTGAATTATTGAAATAAAACTGAACCATGTTAGTCCCGAAATTACCTAGTTTGTGTCGAGTGGACGTTAAACTAAATTTCTTTCTAGTCTCTGAAGTCTAGAAGGCAAAAAGGTTTTATCTCCCAAATTACTATTTAAATTTTCATTTTTCACTTTACCCGTCTGGACAAAAAATCTGATTTTTAAAAGCGTATGCAAGTTAAAGATATTTAATAGCGCTTTTATCTGGTGTATCTTTCATTTCATTTTCTTATGAATTAGACTATATTATAACAATCATGTTCGCTTTTTTGTTGCATAATAATAATAATAGTTTGTTCAGCTATACTCTTCGTTTAAAAAATGTATGGGGCAGCCATCTTCGACACAACAGTATGCTAGACCATAAAATAGATAGTGAGTAGGTACAAATACTTGGGACCCAAGATGGCGTCTTTGTACACCTGACGTCATATTTTCATGACGTCATAGGAAATTTCTGGCTTCACAGTTGTCGCAACATTATTTATATACATACGGCTTTGGTTCTAGGTATTTGTGAGCACGACTGCTATGATATGACGTCATTACGTTATGCTAGGTTTTTGCTCGTGGAATTCAGCTTGAACAGTCGTAATTAGTTGTTCCCACGGGCGTAATGTAGTCTTGTATTGTCACAGGAGAAGTCGACGAGGAAGGCTTTTGAAAATCGTGTATACAAAATGTCGTAAAGCCAATAAGTCTGATTTTGTAAGTGTAATCGGTGTTATTCGGACACAAAAATCGAAACAGTTTGATGGGGCTTTATGCTGTTTAGACCTGTTGTTGCTACGAACCTTCCTGCGAAACCCATCACCTTAGAGCGTTTTAATCCTCCAAATATTAATCATCTACTATTTGTCATATTCATGGCTCCTAATATTGATCAAATGGTGACGCGACGAATGCTGCCTACCTTTTCTAGAATATAAGTTCTCATTTATTCGGTAAAGCCAGGGCTAATACGTTTTGTAGAATATCTAATACTTTCGTGCCGTTGTGTCTATATAGTAGATTCCCTTACTCGGAAATAAGATTGCTAATTGTTGCTTATCTTATCCTATTCCAAAACTGGCAAACTGTTGAATCAGTAATATACTTACCTGTGAATATTTGTAGTTCACATATGTATAAATATTGACGTTTTATTGAAACAAAAACAAATCTAGCCGATAATGATGGTACAGATGGTTGATTACATCTGTCTATGGTATAAATAGATTGTCCTGTTGATGTATGATCTTTATAACATGCTGTAGCTGAAATAAAACCTCCTTCATCACAGTTACCAGTTGAACTCAATCTAACTTCAAATCCTTTGATGTTGTTAGTACCTGGAAACAATATGAATTGTATGTAACTCACTCAGTGGGGCTTGTATCACATTTTTCAACAATTTAAAAACAATATGAAATGTATGTAACAATAATGTGATAATGCTGAAAATAATCAGAAATTATATCCTTGCCACATTTACTATTTGTTTAACCCACTCTATTAATAATAATATCAACACTTTTAAAGTAATTGAAACATCCACAAATCTTATTCGGCATATTTTAACCAATAAATTGGGTGGGAATTTAAGACTATGGATCTTACAACACTTACAAAGGACCATCATTGCAGGAGCAATAACTTAACAAACTTAATATCATGTTTTATGAAACAAATGCTTTGTTTCTTAATCAATCAGTTACATCTATTTCCACATCTAAAAACAACAGCGTAAAAATTGTGTTGATTGAACTGGATATATTGTAAACTATTGTTCTAATATTTAATATCAGATATCATTCTGCTTTCAGGCACTAAGTTTCAAAAGGTAAACTGAGAAGTCGTTACTATGCTCTATTGAATGTGGCAGTCCCATTTAGTTATAATCTTACGTACCCCCATCTATTCTGTTAAATATCTTCATACTACTGATATCAAAACTCTGTTTTAGATCAACACACAACCATTCTCTTGCTTTATTATTATTAGTTTCTGTACAACTGTTACCATACCATCTCTGATTAGTATTACCATCTACAGCTCTAGATGAAACGCCACTTCTATATGTTGAACTTTGCCATGTTGGTTTATTAAGTGCCACATTAAAGGAACCTGAACCTGAAATTATATTGAAGACATTCATGGTAGTTTGGGTGTATAAAGTAGTCACCCTATCAGGAATTTGCAAGGCACTTAATTAGGATTGTGTAGGCATGTTTATCAACGCATCATCCACCCCTTGTCGGTATAGATTTTGATTCGATTAAATAGTGTGTAAATCTTTATCAGTTTTTGTGACGTATGACATGGAGCGCGCGCAATACAAATGTGGCAGATGGTATCAGCTTCCATGACTGTAAGTTCACTTAGCTCAACCTTGTTTAATTTCTATGATCCAGTCCATAATTTTTCTCTAAATCGTGGCAAATTGTTAGCAGTTGGATAGCAACCTCCATAACTGTACGTTCACTGTTCATGATATTTCTCTAAATTGTGGTTTTCATGAACTGGATCCACAGGGAAGACCTCCGCCTTGATGTAGATAAAATAAGAAGACATTGAGACGAAACGTGCGTGCTTTAGTAATCTCATCTTCATTAGGCAAATATAAGGAACGTGCCTTAGGTTCAGCCAAACATCTAGGCCACAAAAAAATAAAGGAATTGTTTTTTGGGGTTTTTTTTCGATAACTATCAGGTGATGACAAAAATGCTTTCCTTTTTTATACGCCCACATTTTTATGTGGACATATATTGTCGTCGCCCCTGTCCGTCCGGATGTCCGCCCACAATTTGATTGTGGACACTCTACCGGTCACAAAACTTGAAATATAGGTTTATCTCCCAATGATCGCGGTTCCTTGTGATATTGGCAATGTATCGGATCGTAACTTCATGGATTATGACCCCTAATTGTATGATTTTTATCCGATTTTAATGAAACTTGAAACATATTTTTATAACTTATAACCCAATGATCTTTGTTCCTTTCGTTATTTGCGCTTATCAGATCGCAACTTCCTGGAGTATGTCCCCCTAGTTGCACAAGAATCGCGTTTTTAGCGTGCGGGGCCTCTAGATGTCACATTTTTTAAATCCTGTTTAAAAAAATAACTTTTAAATATATAACCTCTACACCATTATGATGGTTGTGTACGCAAGTATGTAATATCAAGGTAGTGGACCATCTAGTGGTCACAGTTTTTTTTATCCAATTTTGATTAAACTTAACAAATATGTGTTTATATCTTGGATTATGGCGCCTGATTATAGATTTGTATAAATGTACATATTATTAATGAAAATTTTTTGACAGGTTTGACTCAATATATGATCAGCTTAAAATGTGGGGATATAGTTTTTAAAATGTAAGTATTCCCCGCGTGGTGCACAATACCCATCATATGTAGAGATGTGAAATAACTAGGATCACGTACTGAAATATAGAGATGGTAGTACTGTTCCTTTCGGGAGAAGACAGTGGTCCGTGTTCAGAAAAATAATTATAATATTTGTTGTATTGGATATTAACCTACCCGAAGCCCAAGTGTTCTCTATCATATCAATCCGAGGTAGAGAAGGTTTATATCCGACATATACAACGTCATAGTTTTAATCACCCTTAAATTAAATGGACCCTTCCATTAAAAGTCAACAATGATTGGATAATTGCTCGATAGTTTCCGCCAAATAACGATAATTATCGAACTAATCACGTGAATGCATTGTTTATACTGTCGCCATTTTGGAGTAAATATAGGTTTAATTGAATTGAAAGCAAAATCACAATGGATAGAAATACGTTATTAGACGAAACAGAAATTCTTTTTAGCCAACATTTTGACGGTGGAATATATGTGAATGCAATTTCCGACGAGGTTGGTTCTACTATTTGCTTGTCAAAGGCTGGAGAAAATTTGGATCAAAAGGCAATCTTTTCCGATAATTCTGACAGTGAACAGTGAAGAATTTCACTGACTGTATCAACCGAGTGTATCGACCTATGATGACGTCCTAACAGGTTGATATGAGATATAACACGTCAAAGAAAAAACTACCACCAGTTGTATATTCTGTACATATTCAGAATTCCTGAATTATGGCCCCTGATTGTACGACAAAATCGCGATTTTAGCTTGTTGTCCTCTAGAGGTCACACTTTTTATCGGATTATAAAAATCGTTTAAATATATCATCGCTACAAGTAAAAGTATGTAACACCAAGGTTGTGGACACGCTAGGACGTTAAACCTCATTTCATTCCATTTCTATAGCTATGTATAAATGTACAAATTATTTATAAAAATTGTTGACAAGTTTGACGCAATATGCGAACACCTTGTACATTGTTTGTGTATTTCTCAAATGTAGATCCATACCAGAGACAACAATAACACACTCACCGTAATCATTGATTATTTATTTCTCCAATGTAAATACATGTATCTATATCTGACAGGGAGAGGAGTTTAATATAGGTCATGGCTGTTGCCCAATCCTTGTTAAAAAAACCCCACTTTTCGCGGAACTTGTCTAGGAAACAGCAATTGGAAACTGGTCGATAATTGTACAGCGTGTTAGGATCTAGTCCAAGTTTTTTTTAATGAGGGAGGCGGACAACGGCAGCTTTACCGTTGGCGGAGAAAATCCCAGATTCAAACGATGTATTAAATATTCGTAATAATTCAGGTGCCAATTCATCAATACAGTTCTTTACAAATTCAATAGGCTTAGGATCTAATTCACATGATTTCGACGGCATTTTTCGTACAATAGATGTGACCTTTGGGACATGCAAAAAAATATTTCCCGTTAATATTTACCCCCTTCCAAGTGGGGAGTATATCGCATGTTATTATACGAATCAATAATTGTATATATCGAGGTTACAGACTTTTGCTAGGAGAGACTGACATTCCTGGTATCTAGAAGCCCAGGTCTGATTCAAGTTTATTTATTTCATATGTAGGAACTGATCACTGCCTAATTTACCCTGGCGCAAGTGGCGCGATCGTATTTCGAGCTATTATTATATTTTTGTCCCAAATCAGCCACCGTAGATGGGTGATCCACGTGTATATTGAAATCACCAACGATCATTAGATAACCAGGAGAAAGAATGATACTTTCTAATAGTGTACCAAATTCCAATAAGAAATTTGTACTTTCACTTTATGTTGTTTAGAGTATGGGGGTATAAAATAGTTACAGCGTGTATCATGGTGCTATCAACGTAAATATTTACATCCATTATTTCAAACGATTTGAATTCCAGTATTCCTTTTAAACTTCAGATTAGTTCTGACCAGGATGACAATGCCGCCACCTATCTGCTTATAGCGCGGAACATGTAGGGCGGTGTACCCAGATCGAGGAAGATAAGTCCGCATCAACAAGGGTTTCGTTCTTCTCAGTTCGTTATCATGGAGGCCGTTAGTGCTCCTATCTTTCCGTTCATCGACCGAGCATTCCATATATTATTGGGAGGTTAACGTGTGCGCGCTGTATCATAAGGTCTGTCATTGAGTCAACTGGCGTGGTTTCGATTCTCCGGTTTTACGTGACAAGGAGTTTGGTCGCCTGTACAACATCGTGGGTTTTCTCCACTGGTAAAGATCCCTGCGCGCAAGCGAATTATTGAAATAAAGTTGAATCATGTTAGTCCCGAAATGACCTAGTTTGTGTCGAGTGGATGTTAAACCCCTCCCTCTCTCTCTCTCTCTCTCTCTCTCTCTCGTACTATTATTATTGATCAGATTTCCTTCTTAATGGTTTGTGACTCACAACAGTTTTTGGGATTGATTCTAAAAACTGTTAATTTGAATCCAAAGTGTTTTGGTCTCTGAACTCCAATAATTGATCTCTGCTGTATCTCACTGAAGTGGTTCCTGGGTTAGTAATCACACACATATTGATAACTAAACTAGTTGACACATCTCACCCAGAAATAAAATTTTCATGTTTCAGTAATCCTTCAAGAGTTATTTGTAATTTATAGATGCAAATAACTGATAAATTTTGTATTTTTGTTTAACAATAAGCTTCTATATTGTTAGATATTTGATGTCAACATTTTATCTATAAACATTGTACCAACTATAAAAATGATTTATTAAATATATAAAACTTACCCAATACAAAATATACATAACTGAATATAATACAATGTTTAATAATAGAATGCTTAATATGAATATCTATCATGTATTCTTAGTCTTATGATACCAGTTTGTTTATTATGCAGGAACCAAGGTGGCTAAGTGTGTAAGACACTGGCCCGCTAGCTCGGAGGTCGCGTGTTCGATCCATGCATTGGCCGAGAAAGTTCATCAGGATTTTTCGTGGTTTCCCCTTGTCAGTGGTGCAGGACGGAGGACCTGACAAGGACATCTGTGTTGTCATTTAGATGGGACGAAAAAACGAAGTCCTTTGTACACATTGGCGTGCACGTAAAAGATCCCTTGGCAGGTAGAATTCGATATATGGGTAGGTCATAGTGCCGCTGCCTAGGCAAAATTTCCCTCGCAGCCCACTGTATGCCCTATGCCCGTCTTCTCGGAGCAGAACAGTAGGACGTTGAACCCCATTTTATTTGATTATTATTCTATCTATTTTCAGAAAGAATATGAGAAACGAGAATAAATTTTAGCTGACAAAGTATCCAATAAACAACAAGAAAAATTAGACATGCAGACAAAGGTAGATTTCTTTTTATAAAACAAATCTGGTTTTATTTTCACATCAGTCGAGTGATAATATCAAATTGTATTTTTCTTGGATCCAATATTTATGATGAATTAGTGGATAGTGCCAGTAATATATCCCTTGGTAGTTTAGAGCATGAATGAAAAGTAGTCAGAAACTTTGTAGTTTGGGCAAAACTCACCCCTAAGCATACAATTTACAATAGAGAAAGGGTACTGATTACCTTTATACATTAGTATTAAAAGTACATATGACATTAAACCTTAATAAACCTTCAAAATTATCCCTCACAAAGAATTCATAAAGCCGTAGTTAGTATTTACGAAGATTAAATGAATGATTTAAAACGGGAATCTACTAATAATGAAATTTTAAATTGATTGTTGACATAGCAACCCTTGTTATCAATGTTTA